TGTATGAGAAGAAGATTTTTTAGGAAAGGCAGTTTTAAGGCAAAATCTTACTTTGAAAGGGCAAATACCTCACTTCCTGTTGGATTTAGGTCAGGGGTGTCAGCGCGTGATTTTTAGGTCTTCATGAGACGAACACGCCACTTTTGGTTTTATGTTTCTACGACGTTCCTACAGGCCATGGCGGCCATTTTTGTGTGCCTAGGTGGCGCTAGAGAGCCCATTTTGGCACTTTAGGGGTTAATGTCATGATTTTCTAAAATTTTTCACTGGTTCTGATGTGCGTGCCAATTTTGGTGAGTTTTTGAGCATGTTTAGGGGGTCAAATTCCAGATCAGAAAGAAAGAAATAATAATAAACACACCAAAAACAATAGTGTCTTCGCCTTTGGCGAGGACTGGTCTGTGAGAATAAACGCATTAAAAAGTATAGGGGGGGTCCTCGCCTTTGGCGAGGACTGGTCTGTGAGTAGTCCACTGCTTTTGGGCTTGGTCCCTAATAAACGCACGCAGCAAAAACAAGAGGGTCCTTGCCTTTGGCAAGGCTCTAGGCTCGGTCCCTAATAATAATAATAATAATAGTAATCATAATCATCATCTTCCTCTACAGCCTAAATGCTTATATTTTGCAAGTCTCTTCCAGATATCCGTTAATGAAATCCAACATGTTCACTTATTTTGTTTTTGTTTGATTAATTTATTTTTCTGTCCCAATAATCAATTCAGACTATAGGGAAATGTACTTACATTCATCATCCTCTTAAAATAAATTGGAATAAGACCACAGCTAAATATAGTAATAGAGTAAATTAATGTAGCCTATATTGACCCCACTTCTCACTGCACTTCATAGATTAGATTTAGTATTTGTGACACAAAAGAAATCACAGTGGTGGAAATGGGTTTCCATGGTATGTTAAAAACTGTTTCATGGTGTTAACATGGCACACAGTAATCTTCACGTATTTACAAAAGCATGCAGTGTTTTTCACATGGACTAATTAAGTCTTTAATGGTTTTCATAATTATAAACATTTTGATTATAATGTATCATGTAACTATGTATCATGGCAGTGATATTTTTATTTTTATTTTGTTTGTTTTTTGCTCCTTGCCTTTTCTTCAACAGAAGATGAAAACTTTTACTTTTTTGTTTGTTTTTCGTTTTAGTCTCCCATTTGTTTTTTGTTTGTTTGTTGTTGTTTTTTCATGTAATTTTCATCTTATAATTTTGCTTTAGAATTCAATTTAAATGACTTTAAGTGTGAACATTTCTTCTTTGTTTTAAAGCTCTCACAGACCCATTGCTCCACCCACACAGTGGAAACTTGGAGGTTTGGGACAGACAAGATGAAACTTCATCATGCTTATCAGATTTAACCATGTTGTGACTTTCTGAGCTCCAAGAATTTTTACTCTGACTGAAAGCACAAATATGGAGCTACACCAAAAGCTCATACACATCATACAATATGCACACACAACTGGGTAGTAATGGGAGGCTTCTATTGGCTAACAGATTTTAGATATAAAGATATTACCAAAATATTGAATCGTAACATTTTAGAAAGACTTACAAACGTTTGAATGGGGATACTTTTGAGAGTAACATTTCACATTTTGTTTTCCCATGATTCAAAATGGGAGGTTTTATTTATTTAGCCTATTTTTTAAAGTAGGCCCTAATTTATTTTTTGTTACTTTACCTACTTATATTATAATGAGTTGTCATGAAATATTGGTAATGTATATCACCACAAACAACAAATACCTTGCATGTGTACACTTCATATAATATATAAGCAGACGTTGTTATCTGGAGGTGTAGGAGATGGTGGATGGCATGACACTTTAGCAAGACGCCCATCAAGCTATGGATCACTGTCCACCAACAAACTAAAAAAAACAACACAAAGCTATCAAATGTGAGAAGATATGTTTATTTTAGTTTTTGTTTTAGAGTCCAAACAGCTTAGGTGGATGATGTGAGGATTCAAAATCCTCTACAGATTTTAAAGAGAAGCTTTTGAACAGATGTTAACTAATGTATTCCTTCGTGTGTAATTTGAAAAGGAGTGGCATTTATTATATCAGGGTATGTATCATTTATTATTTAAATAGCTTAATAACTTCATATTTAACCCAACGCCGACTATTTCTTTTAACCTTTTAAATAACAGGATTTTCTTTCTTCTTTCTCCCCTCACTCACCCACTGTATTGTTCAGGAGCTGACCAATCCTGTGTGCGCCACCGCACAGTCTTATTTGCATCAGGGGGATACAATTTGACCGCTCTGCAGTATTAGAGTTCATTCGTTTTAGAAGTGACGTACCGTCCTGATCATGCCTGAAACCACCGTGAAAGCGCCCAAGAAGGGCTCAAAGAAAGCCGTGTCTAAGAGCGTCAGCAAGAGCGGTAAGAAGAGGCGGAGGACCAGGAAGGAGAGCTACGCCATCTACGTGTATAAGGTGCTGAAGCAGGTCCACCCCGACACCGGCATCTCGTCCAAGGCTATGGGCATCATGAACTCGTTTGTGAGCGACATCTTTGAGCGCATCGCCGGTGAGGCCTCCCGTCTGGCTCACTACAACAAGCGCTCCACCATCACTTCCAGGGAGATCCATACCGCCGTCCGCCTGCTGCTGCCCGGTGAGCTGGCCAAGCACGCCGTGTCTGAGGGCACCAAGGCCGTCACCAAGTACACCAGCTCCAAGTAAACAGCGTTTTTGCTTCTGAGACTAAACCAACGGCTCTTTTAAGAGCCACCCACTTTATCTGAAGATATTCCATAAATGAATACTATAAGCTATGTTATTGACTAGACGTTTGCGACCAAAACAATATTCAAAAACCACAGAAAAATGAGGTATAACATAAGCAGCAGGTTTTTTTTTCCATATTTATCAATTCTGTGTATTGTTATTGACCTCAATATGTACGATATTTAATTACTACTGATTTTATTTCATGTTCTATTCTGCACTTCTGTTAGAAGTCTTTTGTCTTTCTGCCTGTCATCTATGCAACATCAATAAAGTAAAGACTAAAAAAAAAAAAAAAAAAAAATCTATAATGCTTCACCTTGTATCTTTCTTATGGAGAGAAATCTACAAACTTAAACACATCAACATTAAACACCCACACCATAGTTTCTCATCATGTGAACATAAGTTCAGCCCTCATTATCCACCTCTCCCAAATCACACACGACACAATCTGTTTTCCTCCTGATTACACTTTGATTAACCAACTTTTTGCCACAAAGACTCAGTTTTACAGTTGGTTCTTAACTCTGTAGTTTACATTTATACATCAGAAACTGTTGGTGGTTGTCAGGTATGAGAGATACAGACGACTTTGTTAAATTTAGCATCTCTTTAGTCTACTATAACTTAGTTGATAGAAGATTTAATAAGTGATGGAAACTGATACAGCAGCCAAAAAGATCATCTACAAAGTAATACAGTTGACTTAAAGAAAAGACTTGCATTAACTGTACAGTTGCATATTCTGATAAGTATTATATAGAAAGTATTTCTCTTGTTTGTTTTTTCTTAAATGTGAAATACCCAAAAGATTTCAGAGTGATCTGGAATCTCTGTTTTGCAAACTCTAATTCAGTTTACTCTGTTATTATGATGACCCAGATAAAAGTATTAATAAATATCTAATTGATGTTTTTATTCGAAATGCTAAACTTTTTATTCATAAGCAGAGGTGATCAAAGTCACCTCCTGATTTTTTACCTTTTCTCATAGAATTCAAGGCTCCTCTTACATCACCCAGTTTGTTAGGAAAGAAACAGAATACCAAGCTTTTGGAAAATTTTGCAATTTTTCCTCCAAATCGTCTGAGTGGATACATTCTTTTTCTGTGAGCTTGTATCTTCTTTTTGTCTCTTTTGTTGTTGTTTGTTTTATTTTATGCAATAGTCTTAAAATACTGTTATTCATACATTTTGAATATACTCACGTCATACGTTTTTGGTTTTATATGTGGGTCCTGACAATTCATTTTTGTCCTCTGTGGAGGACATTAGTCTAACTAGTGTAACTCAAGTGTTCTTTATGCTATCCATTTGGGTCAAATTGTGTTCTGAAGAGGACATTCAGGGCTTTCTAATGATGTAGACATTATGTGGGTGGGGTTAACAGGGAAAACACACACCCTTTTCAAAATGGCTGCCATTACGTTTTTCTCATTTTTTGCTGTCAGAGTGGTAACTGATGATTTTCTGGCAAAAGTTATGATTATTTTGTTAATATTTAATTTGTTTCCTTAATATAAGGGTCTTGACTTTAATTTAGAGAGATTTCAGAAATCCAGAGTAATTTCAACCTTTTCAAAATACACCTTTTTTTTAAAGATATTTTTTGGGGCTTTTTAGCCTTTAATGTATAGGACAGACAAGCGTGAAGGGGGGAGAGAGAAAGGGAGTGACATGCAGCAAAGGGCCACAGGCTGGAGTCGAGCCCCGGCCGCTGCAGCAACAGCCTTGTACATGGGACGCCTGCTCTACCACTAAGCCACCAGCGCCCCCAAAATACACCTTTTATTCAACGTCCTCTGTAGAGTACATCGGGACTTAGTACCCCCTGTTTTATAACCAGTTTCCACGATTCAGCAGGCCGAAGGCCATTAACGAGAATGACGTTTTTTTTCTCATAATTTCTAATACATTTTAAAGGTTAGTCAGTGTGAAAGCAGAAATTTGGCTTGGAGTGAGACTCTGAAGTAATGTGTATGCAAGAATTTGGAGGTTTATTGGAAAATAAGAACACCTTAGGTGAATGTACATTCCCATGCATCTATGGTAGGATACTACCTAAAAGGAGGATTTCGAGAAACGTCTCGTTTTATTTCCTTTAAACAATGACGATTCTTGCTGAGAGTGTATTCACACATACAGTAGTATCTATAAAGCTTCACTCCACTGATCTTTACCCTTCCTAGGCCACCACACACAATCAAGTTTACCTGGTCTTTGGGGTCCGTCACAGAGGGGTCATGGGTCAAACTATGGGGCTCCCCATCACTTCTTATTGCCTGGGCAAGTGTTAAAGACTACATAGCAAGCATTACACCTCATCACATCATAGATAGTGAGGGGTGAGTGCAGTTGGACCACTAGGCCCTTAAACCCAGTGGTACAGGGTACCAATCCTGCACCCTGACTCTAACGTCAGGTCCATTGGTATAGCTATTAAGAATACACTCTACCTTGCTACCGATATCCATCATAGTGTTAAGCACTGAAGACAGCCACATAATAATTCCAGGGGAGTAAAAGTCCTTTGCAGCTCATACATTTAGAGATAAAGCATAAAATACCCCATAGTCCCATTGTAACTCAGTTGAAACTCATTGACTAACTCTGGAAATTTATGATCTAAGTCCAGATGTCCTCTACAGAGGACATGTGATAAATAAATATATAAATAAATAAATAATATTTTTGATTTTTTTTTTATGCAAAATGTTTCTTTCAAGTCTTATACTTAAATTACAGAAAACAAATCTTGATATCAAAACCTTTTTTCTTCTGGGTCCCTTTTATATGTGCTGTTATTAACTACCTGATGTTTTGCACATGTTGTTTTTCTCATTTTTTTAAACATGACGTTTAGACATTTAAAAAAAGGCGGTTTATAGATGAGTGATTAACAGTAGAATTATAATTTCCCGCCTCTACTGTGAAGGTGAAGGGTTCATCAGTGTCCTAGTTTCTATTGTTAGAACAAATGTCTCCGCCCAGCAGAGCTCAACTACGTCCGCAGAGAGGATGTAAATATCCACGTTCACAGTCTCTAACCACCAGCTTTTCTTCAGAACAAACTAGACTCTGATAAAATGAGTGGTCGCGGCAAGGGAGGAAAAGGACTCGGTAAAGGAGGCGCTAAGCGTCACCGCAAAGTTCTCCGTGATAACATCCAGGGAATCACCAAACCCGCCATCCGCCGTCTGGCTCGCCGTGGTGGAGTGAAGCGTATCTCCGGTCTGATCTACGAGGAGACCCGCGGTGTGTTGAAGGTGTTCCTGGAGAATGTCATCCGTGATGCCGTCACCTACACCGAGCACGCCAAGAGGAAGACTGTGACCGCCATGGATGTGGTGTATGCTCTGAAGAGGCAGGGCCGCACTCTGTACGGCTTCGGAGGTTAAATCACTGACTGTTCATTACTGGAAACCAAAGGTCCTTTTAAGGGCCACCCTCTTACTCATCTAGAGAGCAGAATCTCTCTTAAATTCACCTCAAATAGTGTCACCCTTTTATTTAAGTTACAATATAATTAACACTGTTACTATGTCGTTCCATCTCAACTACGTAGCCCTTTGATGCAAGAGAATATAACCTAGTAGAAATGTTATCAAAAGATACATAATTACTTCTGAGAAGTAAGAAGTAAATTTATTGCTAGTGAGGATGATCTATTTGGAGATAACTGGGGAGATGTGGCTTTTGGATGATCTGGAGGAACTTTAATTTTGCAATGGTGTTTGGTGCATGCAATAAGAGGAAACAAAAGTTCTGCAAAAGTCAAGATCATAAATATTAAACGGAAAAATTACAATCAAATTAGTCCAAGAAAAAGATACAAAATATAACGCATGGAGAGGTTTAATGGTAGTTTGTTGAAGATCTTTTTTGTCTTTAAATACAACTACAATCCCAGTCTGGGATCCTGCCTGTCCAAAATCTAAAGTTAGTTTTGCAACACATGGTTAAAATCTGAGCTCATCTTATTTAACTCTAAAATATTCATATAGTATTCAACTCAACAGGTGTACTTTTAAATCCACTACAGTTAAGAATAGAATAAAGCTGGTAAACCATTTTGGATGTTGCCTCATTAATGAACAAATTCTGTCCCTGTAAACAAAAAAGACAACCAGAAATCCATTTATTACACATTCAGAGTGGTAAAGACAGTAGTTTGGATTATTTTCACCATCCTGAGGCTGTTGTATCACTTGTAGCCTACAGAAAAAGTAAGTTTGTTGTTGTTATTATTATTTTTAACTGATTGTGTCACTGATGAGTCTGGGGTTACATCTGACCTATAACACACTGCAGAAAGGTGTTTTATTTTGTTTATTGCACTGATTTTGGTCACTCTGGATATCTCAATGTGTCACAGGGTCATTTGTGATATAGATGTTTGTAATGGTCCACAGACACTGACACACTGTATGTGTAACATTAGTGTATTAAAATCAAAATACAGATACTTCTTCACCTCAGTATGGTAAATAAAATGCACACAACATGTTGAATTTTGTTTTTCCAGTTACAGTGTATCAACCAGCTCAGACTGCAACAAACCCAAAATGTGTCCGACTGCAAACACTGCACCACAAGTGGACAAAGAGGAATGGGGTTGAGAGCATGTATCTGACATATAATCACACACAGTACATGGCCCTCTGTATGAGGAACCTGTCCAGGGTGCTTGTGCACACAGACAGGAGGCATTTCTGCTACCATAAATGTATTCATTTATTTCTATTATTAAACACATTTCTGTTCTGTTACACAGCCTGTTTGGAACTGAGTCCATTAAAATCTAGTAACAATAATAATGACATGTTCACGGTCACAGCAGCTCTGATACAAGTCGGACTAAACGGCGGCCATTATCAGTGTGTTTGCTGCGACCAGAATAACTTGAGTTTATTCCAAAGTCATCAAC